AGATGCAATATGCAATATAACAACCATTGTTGATATCTTATCACCTTGTTTTGAAATTCTGTATTGTTTTTAATGTTTTTTTTTCCCAATTTTTATTTTCTTTAAAATAAAAAAAGTAAATATTTAGCTTATAGTGGTGCACACTGTAATTTCAGCACTCTGGGAGGCTTAGGCAGCAGTATTGCAAGTTTGAGCCCATTTTGTGAGACCCTGTCTCACTATTAAAAAAAAAAGTATAAGATGAACTAGGAATGTGGCTCAGCACAAGGCCCAGGGTTCAATCTCCAGTATCGTGAATACACACACACACAAGTACGCACAGTATATACGTGTGTGTATATGTATTAGTAACATGACAGGCATCCACTATTCATAATTCGCAGTTAGTACGTTTCATATTTGATTATCTCTTTCTTTTCTTCTTTGGATATTAGGGATTGAATCCAGGGCCTGGCTCACACTAGGCAAGTGCTCTCCACAGCCACCATTTCTTTTTTAAACTTTGTTTTTGAGCCGGGGTTGTCCAGGCTGACTTTGAACTTGTTTGTGATCCTCATGCCTCAGCCTACTGGATAACTGGGATTGCAGGTTTGTGTTACTGTACCTTGCTTGTTTTACCTTTTTTCTTGAGGAAAAAGAAAAAGACAGCAGCTCTCTTGACATCCCAACATGTCTCGCCATGCCAGGTCCCTTCTTCTGTCCCGTAGGGGACCTGGGTGTCTCCTTCTCATGTTTTTTTTCCTGTGTGTGAGCTCTGGGACTGCTCTGTGGTGTGTTTCCTCTGCCTCCTCATCCGTATCATCAGCTGCATGATCCCACGTCCTGAGTCAGCTCTGTGGGGATGTGTGGGGTCCTGCTTCACTGCTGGCTGTGCCACTATCCGCATCCCTTTCCCTATCAATGATCGTTTGACTTGATTCTAGGCTTTTACACGTGGAAATCTTCTGTTAATCACGTTGTATGTATCTATAACCAAAATATGTACTGTACTTGTAATAAGAATTTGAAAAATGTTCATCACCATAATGTTCTAAGTGAAAATTTATCTTGTGGTTTGATAGTCATTACAAATTTCCAACTGATAAAACTAAACAAATATTTTTATCAATAATAAAGCAAATAACAAAGTATGTAACATGTGTCTCTGAAGTGAATGGGCTACTTTTCCTCAGGTAGTTCTAGTACTAACAGTCAATATAACCTTTTGCTGGAATGAGGCACATTTCAGCAACAATTCTTTTTTTTGTTGTTTTTTTTTTTCCGGTACTGGGAATCAAACTCACGACCTTCCGCTTTCCAGAGAGGTGCTGTGCCGCTGAGCTAAATCCCCAGCCCCTCAGCAACAATTCTATATCAACATCAACTCAACATGTATATTTTTTTTAATCTGAGAAATCTTGATTCCATAAATAAGTAAATGAGATCAAGATTTTGATATAAAGTAGCACCTAATTCCAAATTAATGCCAAAAATTCACATAAAGATCTAGTACAAAAAATATTGAAGCTGGGCATGATGGCATATGCTTGTAATCCCAGCACCCTGGGAAGTTGAGGCAAGAGGGTGATAAATTCAAGCCCATTGTGGGCAGGTTAGTGATTTAAAGAGACCATGTCTCAAAAAAATAAGGGAGCTGGGGATGTGCCTCCGCGTGAAGGGCCTTGAGGTCCATCCCCTGACCGTGGGGGAGGCAGTAATTTATCAGCTGACTTGATTGAATCCTTCCTGTTCTCAGCAGTTTTATTGAGATAGTACAGTATTTACGTACAATTCGTTTTTTTTTTTTTTCTGGTACCCAGAATCAAACTCACGATGTTGTGCTTGCCAGGCAGACGCTGTGCCTCTGAGCTAAATCCCCAGCCTCTTTCCCTGTCTTTTTGAGACAGGGTTTTGCTATGCAGTTCATTCTGGCCTTGAACTCACTTTGTAGCCCAGGCTGTCCATGCACGAACTTGCAGCAGTCCTCTTGCCTCAGCCTCCGAGTGCTGAGATTATAGGTGTGTGCCACCATGCCCAGCCTAATTCATCTTTTTGTTTTGTTTGTTTTTTTGAGACAGGGTTTCACTATGTAGCCCAGGCTGGCCTTGGATTCACTATGTAGCCCAGGCTGGTCTTAAACTGGTAGTGATCTTCCTGCCTCAGTCTCTCAAGTGCTGTGGGATCACAGAGTGCACCACAATGCCCAGCTTCATGCCTCTTTTTGAAGCAATTGCAGAAGTCTTCTTTCGTCAGTGTCTTTTTGCACCGTCACAGCTCCCTGGATGTCCTGAACCGATAACACTTACCTTTCATAGTCATTTGGACTTTGGGGAAGAGGTAGACGGTTCTAGATCTGGTGAGTAAGGTAGATGAGGACACACTGTAACGTGTTTATTTAAATAGAAATTGCCATAATGTTGTGAATCCATTTGGGACCCTGAGGCAGCCCGACAGCATAACAGACACTCATAAAAGAGAACTTTCAGAACTGACTAAGAAGGTGGCAGGAATGGTGGGATAGGTGTGATTTGATTTGATTAGGGGCTGGGGATTTAGCTCAGTGGCACAGCACCTGCCCGGCAAGCGCAAGGTCATGAGTTCAATTCCCGGTACCAGAAAAACAAAACAAAACAAAAAACAAAAAAATAATAATAATGATTTGATTTGATTAT